AATTAATGCGTTAATTTTTCAAACAAATTCTTTAAAAATATTCTCACATAAATTCTGAAACAATTCTAAAACACTAAAAACAAAATAGTTTTCTTTACTTATTTTTATTAAATTATTGCATAAAATTGTTTAATTTCTTTAAAAATATTCTAAAACATTAAAAACAAAATAATTTTCACCGATTCCCAAAAATAACCATCAACAATCTGCACTTCTTCAGCCGCAAAAATGTGTAGCGTGCTTTTAGGCGCTGCTCGAAAAAACTCAAGGCCACTAATCTTACCAATGCATCACAAAAACTAGTTAAAATTTGTATAACAAACACTTTGTAAAATATATAATTTATTATAATAAAAACAAAGTATACATAAAAGGGCATTTGAATCAAAACAAAAAAACTCAAAGTAAACCATGCGGCATATATACAATGTGAGCATAAATATGCCGTAGTAAGTAGTTAATGAAGTCAACAAAAAGTTGTTAGCAAAAAAATTAAACTTCATATGTATTTGCTAGTATTGTATACAAAGAGTGCAGAGCTGTCTTTTATTATAAAAAAGTGATACAAATTAAGCAACATTAAATGAAAATAATAAAAAATTTAAAAAATAAAGAAAAATTAATTATTAAAAGATAAAGCAAAATAAAATATAAAAATATAAAACTTAAGATTAAAAATAAAATTATAACTGCTAACTGTAACAAATGACAAAATGAGCTATAAAACAGCACAGCGACGCATACATATATAAAATATACATATATGTACATATAGTATGTATATAGGAGCAAGCAAAGCAAATGTAAAGCAAGTGTCTTTTAGTATGTTAGGCATTTACTGTTGTTTTTTTCTTTTTTTGCCTAATTTATGCTATTTTTATTGTTACAGCAAAGCGTGTGAAACGAAAAAAACTAACCTATAAGCAGTTGAAGTGTGTGAACAAGTTGTTATTTTGCAAGAGGAAAGTTATTTACTTTATATTAACGGTATTTAGTGAGTTGTACATGTGCTGGACTATTTTTGAATTTAGCACTTCATAGCTAAGTGATAAAATTTAATAAAAATATGTGTGCTGCTTATGAAAAAGTAATGCACAACCGATTAAACAAGCCAATTTGCAGGCTAAGCGCCTAAAATGCCAGCAAAATTACTTTTTTCTAACAAAATTTGGCATTAACTAAAATTACACGACTTAAAAGCAATACCTTGCAAGAATGCATGCCAGGCATAAAGAGTGATCAACTTGGTTTTTTAAGCTTTATGAATATTACTTTTGTAAAATGTATAAACAAATACTTATTATATATTACTTATGTATATTATGTATGTATAGTTAATATTTAACTGTAAATGCTATTTTATAACTGTTAATAAAGCTAAGCGGTGGAGTAAATTTAAATTTTCGCTGAAAATTTTACAATTTTGTACTTTCCACATATAACTGGAAATACAATATATCGAAATGCAACACGCTTTCGGTTACATTATTTACTACACTTTTTCTTTATATACCATATGTTAAATATGTATTTCGCAAATATCAATCGATCGTCGATCGCTTAGCTCTATTTCTTTATATCAAATGGTAAACGAAAGCAAATTTAATAATTAATTATAAAAAGTGAATTGAAAGTTATGGCCTTATTTGTTAGCTTACTTATGTATGTACTACACAATGTAACAACTATATATTATAAATTTTATTGAAATGTGTATTTTTAGTTATGCAAATTTAGAGCAATGTTTTGAAATAAAAATAAAATTTCAAAAACAATTAAAACTGTATTAGAAATGTAGGCCGCGAAAAGTATGTATAACTAAATATTTAAATAAAAATTATATTTAAATATATATCTATGTATAATTGAAAAAGTGGAAATGTAAACATTAGTTAATTGAAAAAAATAAAAAAAGAAATACATATAAATATTACTTGATTGAAATTTATTTAAATTTTTACATATTTACAATTTTTTCTAGCCCAAGGCCATAATACACAGTAAACAAGGCAGTATGGCAGTATGTTTATTTGACAATGTATACATTAAAGGGTTTGTATGTATATGTAAAATAGTTTTCTCTCATTAGCGATTATAGCCGAGCTTATAACAACGCGCTAATAGGAGAATTCAAGTGTAGCTAGGTCCTTATCCACCTAGGATTTCTAACGGAGTGGAGGTCTTCCTCTGTTTTCCCCGGCGGGTACTGCGTCGAATACTCTCAGGGTTGTAGTGTTTTCATCCATTCGGGTGATATGACCTTGCAACGTAGTAGCTGTCTCTTAATGCGCTGAACTATGTCAATGTCGTCATACAGCACATGAATCCATCGACTGCGATATTTTTCGCTTTCAATGCGCAAGGGACCATGAATCTTTCTCTCAAAAATTCGTAACGTCGACTGATCAGATGTTGTCATCGTCCATGCCTCTGCACCATATAGCAGGATGATGAGTGACTTACAGAATTTGGTTTTTATTCGTCGAGAGAGGACTTTACTTCTCAATTGCCCACTCAGTCCGAAGTAGCACCTGTTGGCAGGATGTTGGATTCCGATGATAAAACGATGGGGTTTGATGTTCAGTTCAATCCCAATAAAATAACAATGTCATCCACTCCTTAACAGGAAATGCCATTATTAGTGTGCAATTCAAGTCTAGGCTCAATAATAGGAGGGATGGCACTCCACTCTGTGGGCAGCTTCTTGTAGTGCCGAGAAGACTCGCAGTACAGTACTGTCGCATTCTACATTGTTTATGTAAGCTCAAGAACTAGCCTCTTGTGCAAATTATAGATTCTGCGACACAGAGCCTGAAACTCCAGAACAGCTACTAATTAACTGCACAGCACGATAGGGATAAAGGCCCTAGAATCCATGTTTGCTAATAGGAATCAAGTGACCTCAGTAGCACCTAGCAGTATATTGGAATCCATCGTAGGTTAAGAACATTGCACATTTTTTTATTTGATCTAATATCAACTCAAATTAATTTTTAATAAAGCCCACCACAAACTGCTTACAATGTAACTAGTTATGTCTTAATTTAACACTAGGTCATTCATAATACAACACTGTCAATCACTTTCACAACATAAGCAAAGAACAGCTGTTCGTGAATTAATGCAGTTTTTATTAAAATCTAAATAGCATTTTTTACTATAGTAAAATATGATGTGAAGAAATAATTAGTTTAATTAATAAAAGAAAATTTTGTTTGTTAATCTGCAATTAACATACCAGGATACTTACACTTAAACTGTAACAAATAAAGGAAAATTCCCAAGCAATATTAATTTATATTGCATCAAAACAATGTCAACATCGATGGAACTATATCGCTGCAGTTTTACCGCAGGTGCCTTTGCTGCTGGCGGTAGTTTTTTTGGACGCGCGCCAAGCCAATTGTCGGATCTGCCGGCATTGACAAGTGTATTTGCGCCAACAGCCGCGGCAACATATTATTTAGGTGAGAAATGTCATCAAAACAAATCAAAACACAAATGAAAGTAAGTTTTATTTATATTTTTTAGAATTATTTGTTTTTCGTGCTGTGCCTATTATCTTGATGGTGATTTGTAATGTACTAAATTGGCGCTATTTTCTGAAAGCTTTGCAGTGTACTGAGCACACATTGACTGCAACGGTGCTTACCGCTGCCACTAATTATATGTTATCGGTAAGGATTTGGTTAAATGCATATGCTTATAAATTAATTAAGATTATTTTTATTAGTTTATCT